TTCTGGAGATGTCTGACTTCAGCCTGTTGATCCCGGAGCTCCTCCACAAGCTTCTGCTGCCCCTTTGCCAAGTGAATCTGCAGCACCAAGGCATCTTCAGATGGGACTTCATTAGAGCCTGGGCAGTTCAGCATGAGCAACAGGGAAAGTATCTTATAATGACTTTGAATTTCATTATAAATGTGAAGGTGTAAATAATGAAAAGCAAAAATAACATTTGTATATTTGCATATTTACACATTTACCATTTATATATTTAAGTCTGTCACAGATGCTGCATTCAAACAGGACCATGTTCAAGATTCCATATGAGAGTTTCACTAATGCAATATCACCATTTCTCAAAATTGTGTAACCGAGTGATGTAATTTCACCCAAGGAACCTTGGTTTCACTGAGTTTCACCATATTGGTAAGTGTAATTATGTTAAAATTTTAATCATAATAAGTCTAAGTAATTTACGTATATGTTAATATTTTAGTGTAGCTTTAAATTTAAAATGGCTAGCAACAGTGTTCTCTTGCGTGTTTCTCTCATATCTTTTGGTGAGAGCTATCAGGATTGGTCAAACATTCTGTGGGAGCTGTCAGGATTGGTCAAATTCTCTACAAGAGCTGTCGGGATTTGTAAAACCTTCTGGGGGAGCTTTTGGTGTTGGTCAAACTTTGGGTGAGAGTGATCAGAACTGGTCAAACATTCCACTCCAACTTAATACACTATGTCTTCATGGAGCTCCCTTTGTGCACAGGGGCATTGTCATGCTGGAACAGGTTTGGGCCTCTTAGTTCCAGTGAAGGGAAATTGTAATGCTACAACATACAAAGACATTCTATATAATTGTGTGCTTCAGATTTTGTGGCAACAGTTTAGGGAAGAACCACATATGGGTGTGATGGTCAGGGGTGTATCTCCTGTTTCACAAGCTTGTGTATTTAAACCTTTCTTTTGTTGTGTACGTTGTGAAGATTTCTCTGTTTCATGCTGCAGTTCTGAACCAAATTTTGCAGACATTTTCCTAGTTTCTCTCTAGTATTAAGTCCTAGTTTGCTAGTTTGTGTATTTATGTATTTCTGATTTTGACTTCTGCTTCTATTTTTGGATTTACAAGTATGGGTTTACTGATAAACATGTCTGCTTGTGTTTTGACCCCAGCTGTGAATGCAGACCCTGACTGTTGTATATATGACCACCAGCTTCCATATGCTAATTTTGTCTGCTATTGGATTAAAACTTCATGAGATTATACTGGATGTGCTTAATCATCACTATTTACAACCCTCTGCCCCTTACTATTTTCCTCTTTTTTTGTCATCTGTCATCTCCTCCCTTCCTTCCTCTTTTTCCACTTAGTTTAAAAGCTTATAAATTGCAAGTGAACGAATTAAAAAAGATTATCTGAATATAGAATAAGAGTGAATACAAGAACCTCTAGACATCAGCTAGCATTGTTTACATACCAACAGCTCTGATACGTAAAACATAAAAGGAATATTTTGGCTAAAGTCTATAAAATGTTCCCCTTTACCCTAAATGTAGTTGACTAGCCAAGATGTTCAGTGTTTGAAGATGTTTGTTTCTTCAATTTTGCACTGGAGCTACGAGGATAATGTAGCTAACAAGTAATTAAAGTCTCTTCCACATACACACATCCAGATCCCAAATCTTTATAAACTTGCCACAAATGATAGGGTGAAGCACTGTAATCTTATTTGTAGATAAATGACTGTGTAAAATAGCAAATTACATTTAAGTGGTACTTTGTTATCATATCCAGCTGCAACACATCCAGTGTTCTGCTACATTTCTGCGTTTAACCTTTGCCACACTATATGAGATCAAGATAAAATCTTGTCGGAAGTCTATAACAGACTGCGTGATAATGTGTGTTATCCATGTCAGATTATACGATGAAGATCTTCGTATGACCTGCGATTACAGAATTCTTTTACCACGTGCAATTTTGATAAGGTGTAAACCTAGCTTTAGAGGTGGGGCCTAGAGGGGCGGAGTCATTCCAAACAGCACCAGAAACAGAGTATTGCCAGTTGGGCAAGACAGCAGCGTCCATAAATAACGTTCGAGCAAACAGCTACACTCCAGTCACTGAAGGACCCCATATGGACAGGATTACTATCCATTAATCCTTGACTCAGAGTGTGTGCACACAAAAATATGATCTTTGCAAATCAGAGTGACTTTTGTTTAAGGTCCTGGTGAGATGAACTCAAAGAAACTGAGTGGTGAGACTTAAGAAACAGATGTGTGCATTTCTGGGGACAGGAACATTTACCTTAAAGACAGATTTACTGATCCAAGTAAAAAAAATCTGAATTGTGGAAAGAAGTTAGTAATGTGAACATAGCTGTTGGGTGTGACAGACTTCTATTGCGTGTTAGCTGCAGTATATTAGTCTCGTAGCTTCAGCACAAAACTAAAGAAGCAAACTTCAGACACCGAACACGCCTTAGCTGATCCACATCTGATCTAAGAAGAAGTCAGTGTAAATCTGTGGGAGTTTGATTTTTCACCAAAATATTCCTTTAATCCATAGATTGTAGTGCACTGCAAGTCCTGTACTCAGTCTGTTCTACTTATGTTGGATCACGTGCTCAGTAAATGTAACCTCTGGAATAGTTTGGAATTAAAACGTGCACATATTCCTTCTTCTTCTCCTTCTTCTCCTCACCTGGTTTGATGTCACACGCGAGCTGAATTCCGTTCTGGGATACGAACTCCCGCGGCGCGCGCTCTGCTCCGTCGCGCATGTGCGTGATGCACTCGCGCCCGGCGCACGGGCGCCGCTTGGCCTGCGCGCACTGCTCGACGCCAGCGCAGCCGTCGCGTGCTTGTGCTTGTGCTCGTGCTTGCGCCTGCGCCTCCACCGCTGCACTGTTGCTCCTGGCGTTCTCCTGGCGCGCGACCACGGACGGGTGGATGATGGTGTACGGCACGACCGGGCGCCGCAGCGTGTCCGCGCGACCCGAGGCGCACCGCGCGCCTGTGCACGCGCCCGGGCAATGCGCTCCCCCGCACACCTCGGCCGAGCTTCCTGCAGACGCGACCACGCAGATCACGAGCAACAGAAGCGTTGAGATGGGTGCCATTTAAAACAAAACAGAACAGGGAAAAAAAAAAAAAAAACGCACCCTTTTTGGGAAACCGTGTATCAGCACTGTAGACAAAGTTCCGCGGTGTGTGCGCGCGCGCGGAACACTCGATGTGCCATTGAGTTAATTGGCACCAGGTTTCCCCCTCGAGCTTCTGTTCGTTTTAACCCCTGACTCTCCACCTCATCTCAAGCTCTATTTACTCTCAGAGAAAATGTTTCCTTGTCGCTGGAGTAGTACCCTTATCTTTTATACCTTTAAAATGTGTTTTTTTTTTCTTAACTCTGGAAAAGTGAATATTTTGTGACCTTTAGAATGATTTTACTTACATAAGGTACATATATATGCACCTTTCACAGTAAAAGAAACACATGGAAGGTGCAGTGCACTCCAGCAACAAGGAAAGGTACGGTTTAGTATGCTTTTTTCTGACACTGTTGGGTGTTTAAGCCAAAACTACGACTACTACTACTACTAGGCTAATAATAATAATAATAATAATTGATAAATTAATATTTGTATTTTGAGTCCAACATCTGTACATGTAAAATACCCATCCATTTTCTGTACCACTTATCCTGCACAGGGTCACTGGGAGCCTATGCCAGGGAACTCAGGGCACAAGGTGGGGGGCACCCTGGACAGGGTGCCACAGGGCACAATCGCACACACACACTACGGACAGTTCAGAAAAGCCTATCAGCCTGGAATGCGTGTCTTTGGACTGGAGGAGGAAACTGGATTACCCAGATAAAACCCCCGAAGCACAGGAAGAAAGTGCAAACTCAGCTCACACAGGGCTGAGGCGGGATTCAAACCCCCAACCCTAGAGGTGCGAGGCAAACATGCTAACCACTACCCGCTTGTCTGTTTTAGTCAAAATGCAGAGACTGATAGAGTTTGCATGCACATTTTCTTATTCATTACTATAATGTTTCTTTTTCTTTTTGTGCATATGTTTATTCAAAAAAAAAAAACATCTCAATATAATAAACAATATAATGAACTCTGCTATCATTTACAATAACTAGATAATACAGACAGTTTATTAATGGTAAGATCTCTACTCTGTTGTTCTTTGTGCAGTTAGTTCACTGTGACAATTTTGAAAAATATGCAAGGGGTTAAAAAAGCCCTGTAAGAAACAGTGATACTGTACGTCTTCAGTTTTGAGAGTGATTAAAAAGTAGACAAAAAAGGACTTCTTATACTACGTGCTCCTTTAATGTTACTGATATCAGATCACCGTGTCCTTTGTTTAAGGAATATGAAAGCGAACCTCTCTAGATATAAAATATTGTGCATTTTAGATATTGACGTTATTGTATAATTTCTGTGGCTGAAATCCACAGTCTGTCTTATAAACCAAAATATTCAGCTCAGTAAAATGAAGCTGTCTCACTGGAGTCAGAGTGGTTTACCAAAGAAACAGCATTGTGATATATTAACTATAACACGTTTAATGTACAGTCGACTCTGTAATATGGACACAACTAAAATTTTGTGGTTATGGCCCTGCATGAGCTAGACATATGAGCTGTGATTTATTAAATCTGCAGGAATTATACAGTGATGTCATGGATGTCAGCACTGGGGTGGCAGCTGCCATCCTGTGCCACCCCTGTAGTCACATCCCTCTGTACCCCTTCATTAAAATGGCACACTGAAAACCCTAACAAGCTGACTGTACTCAATCGATTGAGTAATCTCGTTCCCTCAATTCAGTTGAGTAATGGGGTCTCTGAAAACTTATATACGTATATTTAAGTTCACTTAACTTGATGCTTATGTAGACTGCACATAAATTGTTAGCTTCACTTAACCTGGTGTTCATATAGTGCACTTAAATAATGACGTTCACCTAACTTTGTGTTCATATAGCATATTTTATCATTTACTGACCATGAATCGAACCCGGGCCGTGGCTGTAAGAGTGCCACATGCTAGTCACTAGTCCACCAGGGAACCAGTGTACTGAAATAATTAAGTTCACTTAACCTGGTGTTCATTTCAAGCATACCTAAATACAGGGTGTCCCAAAAGTCTCCATAAACAGGGGAAATTAACCCTTTTTAGCAAAATGTAACTTTATGTACAAAACATCCTCTACATGATTGCCATTTCCTTGTAAACACACACAGAGTCGTCTCTCCTACTCATGATGAACACTTGGAACTTCACTACACCGGTACCAGCAACAGACCAGATGACAAGGACCGCCTTTTGCAATTATCTACTATTCAGTGCATTAGTTCTGTTGTTGCCAGGCAGAACTCCTTGCATGGCCAATCAAATCAAAGAAAGACCAGAGTGAGCTATTTTAATGAATCATGATTTTGAGCTCATAACACTTGAAATCTTAAGTTTATGTCTTTTGTAGGTAAATAAGTTAAATGAACTTAAATTTTTGATTTAAGGGTACAAAACGCAACAGTCTAAGTAATGTTTAGTCATGATTACTTGATTGTTTAAGTAAAGACAACATTAGGTGTTTGCAGTGCAGGATCAAGCATCATATGCTAATATTATATCTGGCTAGTTACCTGCTAGCAAAGCAGATAGCATTTGTACTGAATTAACTCGTGCAATGTTTATTGGGATCCATCTGATGTTGTAATGGGAATGTGATTATGTTTATGATATTTCTAGCCTGTTGAACAAATAATAAATGCTATTTGACCCACCTTGTGTAACTACAAGCTAGAGGTTTCACACAAGTAATGCTCATTTTGTGTGTACAGTAAGAATTTTTGATTAAATTACACCGCAAGAGTAAGGTTAAAAAAATATGCAAGTCGGGTCTTGACGTTGACCTAAAAGAACCGACTCAAAGAGCCAACTCTTTCATGAATGACTCATCACTACAGTGCAGGTTTAAAAGAACACCAAGACACCGTGACATACCGGACAGTACTTTAATATAAAAACCGCTGTACATCAACTGAGAAAAACAGGTTTTATTTATGTACAAGGTGATGAGAGAGAAGCTAATAGCGAAGGTGATGAGTAGCTAACACCGTGTGGTCATGTTTCACACAGCACTGAGTGAATCACATTCTCATGGATATTTCATTCTATTAAATTAATATAAAACCAAACTGAACTTCAATGCTATTGGTTATTTCAACAACAGTCTAAAAATCCATGCTGTGCTTCCTTATAACTGAGAATAAATACTATTTGCACCTGAGTGAAAACAGTTTACCACCAAAAACACAGAATCACCATTATTAGCTATGATAGACTGCTAAGTAGATAGCCTAGCTTATACTGTATTAACCATTCAGTAGTAGCTATTAAACTTTACTAGCTAGCTAAAGTTAGGCTAAGCACTGTATGATGCAACAACAAACACCAGCAAGCTAGCTGGCTAATGGTGTAAAACAGTAGCTAAGCCATATAATATTTGGCTAATTATTACACTGTGTAGGCAAAGTTGCTATCAAACTAGCTAGCATGAGGCTATTATGTGTATAAAACTGTAGTCAAGGTAGCTAGCATCACACTAGCTAATATATCATGTAAACCATTAACCAGAGTTGTTTGAAACCTAGCTAACATTAGACTGTTATGTTGTGTAAACAATTAGGCAAGTTCCCTCACAGGGTTCGTGTTTTCACCCGGGTGCAAATGAGGCAAAACGACTAATAAAAATTTGGGATGATTGTTACTGATGGGTGCAGATTAGCGGAATCCAACCTGCAGAATGAACAGAGTTTAATACTTCAAATTTTTGTTTTACAAAATGTCTCCTAAATGAACAATGCCACTGTTTGACTGCCACTAATTTGACTGAATTAGCAATATGGTACTCGAACAGGAACATTTAAAGTGTGTAACCAGACTAAGCACAACATAAACCTACGCAATAGTGTTGCTAGCTGCTAGCAGTAGTGTTACATTAAAATAAAGCTACCTACAAACCATGAAGCACCTGATGGCAATAGTAAATAGCAAAATTTGACCTATTTAGTTAGCTTACTAGTAAGCACAACTGTATTAAAGATTCAGCTTTTAAATGTATTTCTATGCCTGTAATATCTTATAATTTTAAGGACACATTGCTCCACTCATTTGCCATGTAGCATCTCATATTTTATTTTACACTTTTCTGACTACACAGTTCATATAGTCACTGGATTAAAAAAAAGGTTGGTGGCATCATGTCTTTAAGAGTTATTAGTGTAGTAGTCTGGCTTGCAAGACTAGCCTTAAATTGCCAAATTCCTGCCCTTGAAATTGTCTCCACCCCCAGCAAGAAGAGAGCTGCTTAGGCCTAACTAGCTAGCATATTTCCTTTCAGAATTATCACACATCACATTTTCCTTCATATCAGTTGGGTAACTAGCTAGCTTTGCTGGCCAACAACCTACCTTGCTACCTACCTAGCTAGTGCAGTAAAGGAATTTAGTTACATTAGCTGGCAAATATAGTACAGATGAAGTACCTGGCCTGTTGGCAAGCTGGCTACATGGAACCCAGTTTGAACGTAGCAAAACGAATGATATAATTATGAAATGTTAAGGCAACAGCCTCACGATAGCAACATACATGGAATTAAAATGCAACGTAGGCTAACACTGCAGGCAAGTGGAATAAAAATGACCTGGTGTATCAGCCAGATTATACTGTAAATCACGACATTCAACCACGTCTTCCCTGATGTAAAGGAAGAGTTTGGCAGTACGTTAAAAGAAAAACTACCACAGTTTTTTTACGCTGACGAAACACGCACAATAACACGCACTAGTCACAACCGACAGGTTTCATACAGTACTGTATGTACAAAACACGTCCAAAAACCTGAATCAGGAAGAACCGAACACTTTCTCAATACACTGCACATCATAAATACTTAAATAGGTCAGATGAAAACATTCGTAAGTTATCATTAGTCAGCATAGTGCATGATGGACTCCACGTAGTTGCCAGGAAACAGTCCGGTGACGCCGTTGCACACGCCCTCAAACCAGCCGTCGTCATTTTTCTTGATGATGTAGATTATGGCGCCTTCCATGAAGGACAGCTCGTCATCCTTGTCCTTGGTGTAGTCGTAGATGGCCACCACTGAAAAAGGGGGAAAAAACATTCCGAGAGCAGAGTTGCATCTCCTGATGATAGGAAATCTCCAAAATGGCGTGTGCCGATAATTGGTTATTACGATACTCAACACAGACTACTGTATCAAAAACATTTTAAAATATTGCCACACCACCACTGGTCAATATTAGTTAGCTAGGAACCTAGCTAGTTATGTTAACCAGCTATCTGATTTAAAAAAAAACCCTAGCTGTGTTTATCTCAGAACGAGTTTGTAGAAGGACATACCCTTTTCTATGTAGGACTTGGGGGCCCAGTGAGGGTCTCCGTCTGCGTAGGGGTCGTTGTAGTGCACTAGCGCAGCATCCTCTTCTTCATAGTCCACAGGGGGCGGGGGAGGGGGCGGAGCCGCTTCCTCAAACATGGGTGTGTCTTCGGGGAGAGGTGGTGGAGGAGGGGAGGGGCTATCTGAAACTGAGGAGAAAGAGAGCTAAAATTAGTGGACGAGAGAAGCAGTTCCTGAAATTAAGCGATGGGCGGTGAAGACTTTTAATATGTCAGTATGAAAAGTGAAAAAAAAAAAGCCATTGCTTTGAAAACTTACGAGTCACTGATGTTAGCTATGTTAGCTAGCCTATTTTCTCTACAAACGTTAGCTAACTACATTAGATAAGTAAAGAATACAAAGCTGCTGAAAATATTCAACAACTGTTGCCACCCTGAAGTTGATTATTTTCCTATAACAGCATGTCTCGACGTATTTTGTTCATCTTATACCACAACAATATACCAACAATTCTATTTTTATTTATTAAAGAACACATCATGTTTTAGTCCCGGTTCTCATTTATGTTATACCAGCTATAAACAGTCGTTTCCTCACCAGCCTCTGTTTTTTTCTCTCTCTTGAAGTTAATAAGACAAAAAATAAATAAAATAAGCAGCTTTTCGTGTTACCGCAAAGTGTAAACTGCTCTGTCCTGAAGATGCCAGAAAACTTAAAATTTCAGCTTTACCTCTGACTGTTACAAAGTGCTGACACTGGAGACTCCTTCCATAAATGTTACATAAACGTCTCCTTACATATTAATGCATTAATATAAACCTGTGATTTGCAGCTGCACTACTATCAGAGCTGCTGTTATAGAAAATGTGTGTGTGTGTGTGTGTGTGTGTGTGTGTGTGTGTGTGTGTGTGTGGATCACTTACTGTTCTCCTGAACTCGGGCCACAAATCCAGTGAGAGGAATTTGGGGTGTGAGCTGCGCCACAGGAGGAGGCGGCGGGGCGACAGAGACTATATATACACATATACATCATTAATATACTATATATATATAATATAAATATTATATATATATATATATATATATATATATATATATATATATATATATATATATACTATACTACAATAATTAATAAGGTAATACCTGATATATTAATAATAATTCATATGTGAAAAAATAACCAAGTGTCATTTGGACATTCCAATTTGTTTCATAAAAGGTACTCACCCGGAGCCGGGTTTTGGGGGTACGTGGGACCACCATTAAGGTGCGACTGGGGCACGGAGAACTGGGACGAGCTGGACGGGGCGCGGCGATATGTACCAGTCGCCGACACCATGGAGGCAGAGGACGAGGCGCTGGAGGAGCTGTGCCTCGAAATCTGCCGAGAAATAGTGCCGAACTGAGACATCGGAACAGGGCCCAGACCTGGACCTGGAGGTACCACTGTTAGCACGAGAGAGAAAAAGTAATGAGGTGATGAAACAGGGTAGACATTAAATACACACCCAATACCATGAGTGAAACAGGCTGGACACGAACATCATACTTGGCGTGAACAAATCTTGGACATATTTTATCTAGTTTTGTGCATGTGACTAGGTTAATGCATGGAGTGTTCATGTGATAATGCTGC